ATAGCCCTGCCACTCATTGTGTTGCCATAGTTACTCCCGCCATTGGTTCTGTCATTCCCCGATGTTATGTAATTCCTCCTCCCCTTATTCCCATATATGTATCCTGGTTTTTCCTCCCTGGGCCCAGTCAATCACCCCCACTCCTCCCTATTTTCCAGAAGCTTCTACTCACCCGGGGTGATGATTGGCTGTGGTCCCGGGGCCCCTCCCTTACTTTGTATCTAGTGGTTTTTCCCTAATGTCCATTATGTTAAGTCCACTCCCTTTCCCTTCCCTATTGGTCTTCTGTAAACCCCTCCCTGAGATGCCTCCCCCCTTTAAAACCTTGCTTCTCCCCCCCCCCCCCTTGGTCACTCCCTGGTTGGTTACTCCCTGGTTGGCTTCTTGGGATCTCCAATAAACCCAACTTTACCCCCAGAGAGTGTCCAGCTCTTTTACTCATCTTGGCAAAAGCGAGACCCGTCCGCAGCCAGCACAGCCCGAGGCCATTAGATGCCGAGGGGTGCTGGCAGGATTGCAGCTGGGTGTCGGCCTTCCTCAGCTAGCCAGACACTGACCTCTAAGGCCAGATACACCTTGCCGCATATTCTTAAACATTGACAGATCTTTACGGCAAAATCATATGGTGTGGTTATTTGATTTAGGTCCAATTGCCTGAAAAATCAAGTGATTTCAAAAAAACTGGAAATTCATCTTGTTGCTGAACTCCTGCCAGCTGCTGAGTTACATAAGAATAAACTGTGCCACAAACCCATTTATTCTAAACATAAATATCCTTAGGCCCTGTTGTTTATATTTTTGAATTCTTTCTTTTGGAAAGACAAATGCTTACATACACACACTGAGCCCAAAGGAGACAAACATAAGAACACCACAGAGAAAAATAATACCAATATCCAGTTAAGCATCTTTAAATGGCAGCTATCACATTTGCAAGCTGCTTTTTAATGATACTGGACTAAAAGTTTGGGCGCACCTTTTATATTAATTACAGAAATGTTGCTTGGATAAAAGTCTCTCTTACTGTCAGTAAATAGAACAGTTTTCTTGGATGTGTTAAAGATAGTATCAAAAACTGTAAACAGAATTAGATGCTGCCTTGAATGAAAAAAAAAATCTTTTGGTCTTCATTGCATAATGAGGAAGTTTGTGTAAAACACCAACAGGAGAAGCTGATGTTCCTGAGACTAAGATTCAGAGCTCTAAATTATTTTCTTCATAATGAAAAGTGATCTGTCTTGGATAAGGCAAAAAGGAAGGTGCATGCCCAGTGGAAACAAGGTCAGGTGACATGGGAAGAATACAGAGATGCTGGTCATCATTGTAGGGCAAAAATTTGTGTGGCCAAGAGTCAGCTGGTGTTGAAGGTAGCCAGAACTGTGGGGGACAATAAAAAGAGTTTTTTCACATATATTAATAACAAAAGGCAGTATGAAAATAACATTGTCCTCTTACAGGAGGAGGATCGTCATCTCACAAACAGGGACATAAACAAAGCAGAGGTGTTTAATGTGGTTTTCGTGTCTGTCCTCAATATCCAAGAGGGTCTCAGCTGGGAGACCGTTACTGTGAGAATGATCAACTCAGCTGACCCTGACATTGTGCAAGATCTGCTGCTCCGGCTGGATCCCTACCAATCTAGAGGGCCTGAGGGGATCCATCCCAAAATCCTCAAAGAGCTGGTTGATGTCACCACAAAACCTCTCCCGTTAATTTTTGAAAGATCTTGGCAATCTGGAAAATCTTAGCTGACTGGAAGCTGATGAATGTTGTCACAATTTTCAAGAAGGGCAGTAAAGAGGAGCCCAGAAACTACAGGCCTGCCAGTAGTTCAGTACCATCACTTCAGGGCCTGGTAAAATTACAGAGATTATTCTGGTAGATAGTGAAAAACACCTGAAAGACAACACAGTCATTGGCCACAACCAGCATGGCTTCATGAGTGGAAAGTCCCTCTTAGCAAAATGATTTCCCTTTAGGAAGGATGATCCACTCAGCTGACCAAGGGAAACCAGGAATTCGATGTGATCTTCTTGAATTTTAGGAAAGCTTTTGGTATTCTCTGTCACAGGATCCTCCTGCAGAAAATGTCCAGCCCACAGCTGGATAAACACATCATGTGGTGGGTGAGCAGCTGGCTCATGGTCAGGCACAAAGGGCTGCAAGTGAATGGGGTGACATCAGACTGGTGTGACCTGTCACTAGTGGGGTTCCACAGGGCTTCATCCTTAGCCCAGTGCTTTTCAACATCTTCATAAATTACTTGGGCACAGGACTGGAGGGGATACTAAGCAAGTTTGCAGATGATACAGAACTAGGCCCTACAGAGAAATCTTGACAAATTATGGGACTGGGCAATTGTCCTGGTTCAGAGCAAATTTGGGAGAGGATCCTCAGTGGGGTTCCTGTAGGAAAAGAGATTCAGTCGGCCCCTCCCCCCAACCGGTCTGGGAGGAAATACCTCCTCGGAGAACATTGGAAAAACCTGTTTATTGCACAATAAAACCTAAACAATATTAAGCAATAAAACCCCTCGCCGCTCCAAAAGAGATGACAAACTCAGAAAGTCCCTCCCCAGGTTGCAGCTGAGCTCACTCAGTCTCTGATCAGTCCCTCAGGCGCTGGAAATGCCGCGGCCCAGGCCTGTGGCGGGTGGGCCACAGGTGCAGCTGCCGGTGCTCCCCTGGGTGTTCAGTCCAGAGCAGGTTTAAACAGGTCCAAGAAAAAGGGAAAAGGCCTCACAGTCCAGGGAACTTCTTTGCCTCAGCTAGTTAAAACTAACTAAAACAAAGGAGAGCTCTGTCCCACTGTCTGTCCCTCCACAGGCAACAGTCAGGAGCAGGAATGTGGATGAGTGAGTGCAGTGTCTGAAAACAAACTGCTGCTTCTTCTCTCCCCCCTTCACTCTCTGGAACACGTCTTAAAGGTGCAAAACTTATTATTCAGCATTAACAGAATGAGATGACTGGGGATAAAAGCATCATATAGTCAACCCAGAACAGCAATCACCACCTGTATGAAGTTCAACAAGGGAAAGTGCCGGATTCTGCATCTCAGATGGGACAACCCTGGGTGTATGGACCATCTGGGAATGATAAAATGGAGAGCAGTACCATGAAAAGAGACCTGGGGTCCTGGTCAAGGGCAAGTTTGAACATGAGTGAGCAGTGCCCTGGCAGCCAGGACGGCCAACTCTGTCCTGGGGCCATCAGGCTCAGCATCAGCAGCCAGGCAAGGGAGGGAATTGTCCCACTCTGCTCTGCACTGGGGCAGCCTCACCTGGAGTGCTGGGGGCAGTTTTATGACAAAGACATTAAGCTATTAGAGAGCATCCAAAGGAGGGCAACCAAGATGGAGAAGGGACTTAAGGAGAAGCAGTATGAGGAATAGTTGAGGTCACTTGGCTATTCAGGCTGGAGAAAAGGAGACTGAGAGGAGACCTCGTTGTAGTTACAACTTCCTCGTGAAGGGAAGAGGAGGAGCAGGCACTGATTTCTTCTCTGTGGTGACCAGTGACAGGACCTGAGGCAACAGGGCAAGTGTAGGCTGGATATTAGAAAAAGGTTTAAAGGTTTTTCGCCCAGGGAGTGGTTGGGTACTGTAATGGGCCCGCCAGGGAAGTTGGTCCGGGGGGCTGTTGTGGTTTGAGAGGAAGTAAGTTTTCTGGGATATGCTGTGGTCATCAACAGGTGTTCAAATTTTAATATTGGCACCTGGTGTGGCTACTGGGGACATTGGATACGCCTCTGAGAACACGGGTTAAAAAGCAGAGCACTCCCGGGGTGAAGTGGCACGCCGAGAGAGGAGAAGGGTCGACCTTCTCGAAACGTCCCGCCAAGCTGGCCAGCACCGCTTGCAGCCTGGGGGGCACTGTCCAACTCTCGGTGTTTGGGACAGCGCCTAAGGAAAGCACCCTGCGTTATAGCAGCGATGCTTCCTTGCAGAAAGACGTGGCCGCGGTAAGACTTCAGCTAGCAGGAAATAAATAGAGTGCTCCCCAGTCGGGGCAAGTCCAGGTTTAATGCAGACCGCAGGTAAGCCTGCAACGGAAGCATGCGAGGCGCATGGGGGGGGGGCATGCACTTACAAAGGGAGAGGGGTACAAAGGAGGAGCCCGTCCTTGGGCGAATGGGAATCCAGAGAGGCGTGGGATACAGACGAGTGACATCAAGTAAAGACCAATGAAAACAACTTTAAGGAGGGGCCTCGGCCCCTGAACCAATCACTCTGTGCCCTAGACAAAAGTTTCCAGAGAAAAAGGTGGTGGCAGAGAGCAACGGCAGGGTACTGGGGAGGGGTTTAGAAAAAGATACATTGATTTCCAGGGAAACCGGGGAGGAGTTGAGGTAACTGACAACAGCAGGGAGGGGAGGGAGAAACAGGGCAGAACCATTACAGAACAGGGGGGAACGGAACGGTCCAACTTACACAACACAACACCGGGGGAAGATCACTTGGGTTTGGGCGAGGGAAACAGGTCAGACCCCCCCTGCCCAGCTGCTGGCTGGGCGGGGGAGGGGCAGCCATGC